TCCCAGAATTATAGACAGATGATCTACTGTAATCTTTGTTTTGAAGAGAAAGAGTCACCGACCATAAAATGTTGATTAAAATTTAGATTTTGTCTACTTCGATTTTTAGACTGGCACCAAAACAATGCTCTGAAAACAGTTTTGTCGCTTGAATTCGTAGAAGCACTCGATATATCGATTCAGAGCGGGAATCGAAAATTAATTCTAAAAATCGTTATTGATCGGTCATTTTTTAAAAATTAATTATCAAAACCGTGCTATATCGAATTACATATGTACAGAGAGATAATTAGCAAAGGAATTCTAAAAGAAAAATATTTATTTGTTACAGAGCAGTTAACGCCGTTTTAATAGTAGTTTCAAATACACACATGCGCGCGCGCACGCACACACACACACACACATATATATATATATGTACATATTTAAATCTAAATATTTATTTACCTCTGTTATGTATTGAGATATTGAAAATTACAGTGAATCTGCAATTTTATCTGTTTTGATCTGGCATCTCGGCTACAGTCATATTCCCATCAATTAAACGTAGCCTCCCTGCATATTTACTATAAATATTTTCATATTAACAATTCTGACGAACTATCCAGTTTGGTACCTCGATTTACAAATTTAAACACAGTACTAAATTCGAAGATAGGTCTCATTATTTTACAGGTGAAATGCTTGTATGCAACGGAAAGATCTATGCTAAAAATTTCTTCTCCAGAACTTTCACGCTTATAAAACTTGATATAACCATATATATATACCATATATATATATATATATATATATATATATATATATATATATATATATATATATATGTGTGTGGAGGCATGTTTCATTGAATAATTTAGACAAGTGTTGTCTACTTATTTTCAATTGGATCCTTTTGCGTTCACGGACAAAATGTTTGTATCATTATTAAAGGAAGAGTGAATATCACCGTGTCGCTACATATTTTATATACTTTCGACATAGCACAATGTCATCATCAGGCTGTTGTTGTTTATTTTGAGACAAATGTTGTAGTGTTCATCATTTTCAAAGACAAAATTGCTGTTTTCATCTGAAACTTTTTTTACTTTTGAAATGAAGAACTCTCAGTGACAAACGCTTCAAGGAGGTAACTAAGTATGTATTTTTCGAGAGTTTTAAGAAATAAGTATTAAAATTATTAGTACAAATATATATATATATATATATATATATATATATATATATATATATATATATATATATATATATATATATATGTAGCTGGTCACATGTATTCAAGGATACCCGTCTACTAGATTACAGAGGCTTGCTCAGGCACATTTGTGTTTGTCCAACGCCTACAAAAAGACCCCATGTGGTTCTTACTGCAAATATGTTTATATATATATATATATATATATATATATATATATATATATATATATATATATATATATATATGGCATATCAGTAAATACAGAGTCTCGTATAATATTTGATCTACCTCATTAATATTCAACATTTACCTGAATTATGTGCCTTGTAAAGGGAAGTGATTGTACTGAAAATTAAGATTGCTCTGGAAAACAAATTCTTTTGCCTATTAATTGGGCTACAAACTCATTACCGTCCCTACGTACATGAGTTCCCAGCGTTACACGTACTAATTAGCGGAAATTGATCTGAAATTGTAATTAATGTAATTAACATACCGAAGTAAATTCAGTAAATTATTAAAGAAAGCTATTACTAAATATTTATCGCGATAAAAATAATGTCTTTTACCTCATTCGACTTTCGATTCACAAATACCTATAGATAGGGAGATAAGTAAGCTATTACTTTTTCTTTAAATCTTACAAGAATTCCTCAATAAATTATCACCTTGTTAAATAATATATTCATTATACTTCTCATATCTGACGGCTCATATAAAAAGAAAAAAAAATTAAAAAAATGAAAAAGAGGGAAAATCAATTGAAAGATTTTCCCATTCAAAACAAATTTCATGTTTATTTCCAAATTAAAAGAAAATCAATCACAAATTTCACGGATTTTTGTTGAAATCATTTTCACGAACTGCTTGCATGATTTAATTGTTTATTTTAATTCTCTCGCCCAGGTAGGCTTCCGGTGATATCGCCGCTCCTCGTACGATTACCGAAGTTAAGCAACTCGAACCTAGTCAGAACCGAGATGGGTGACCGCTTGCGTATACCAAATGTTTGAATAAGTCTCATGCCACGAAACTGGAAATCGAAGAGCCGTGTTCCAATAGGATTCGGTTGATCTTTGTTAAAGGACTTAGAGAATATTAATTACAGAGATCGGACACGCCTCGTGAATAGTAAAAAATTCAGAATAAATTGGAAGCAATAATTACATCTCACGATACATGCTTACTCACTCACCGTCGCAATAACAAATACATTTTTGCTCAAGGACTAAGATTCTCAATAATTTCATTTATTGGAAGAAATTTAATAAATTAAATCCATTTAGAATACATCTCGGAAGAGATTTTCCTTAGTGACATTGTGAAAGTGTTGTGGATTCCGAGATGAAATTCGGTCCCCAATGAATGACAAACGCAAGAATTAAATATAAGAAATTAAATGTATTTACACAATAATACAATGGGTAATATTGTTAGTAAATCCAGGAACGCGGTTATTAGTAATATATATATATATATATATATATATATATATATATATATATATATATATATATATATATATATATATATATATAAAAAGAAATATAGTGTTAAGGTGTGCTATATTTATGGGATAAAGTGCTCAATATCACTCTCTATATTCTGACTGACTCTGGATATGTAACGGTAGCAATCCAAGTAACACTCTGGTCGAGTCCACTTATATGAAAAAGGGAGGACCCCATAAGAGAAAGTTTATCAATCATGTGTTTATGGTACGTCACTCTATGAATGTTATTGGCACAATGTAACCAAGTACGATCTGCCAGATGGTCGGATATCGGTGAGTAAACCAATTGCACACCAGAATTTTCTAGTAAGGAGGATTGTTAGACATCTAGCAGGATTAAAACAAGATCTGACAGACGAAAGTTATTGTAGGGTAAACGCCCATCCGACTAAACAGAATAGAAAGGACTTATATCTATATATGCATCCCGTGCGGTGATGACAGGACATCCGTAGGTGGAGGGCTTCCAAGCAGTAGGGTTCCCTTGATGGAATCAATGGAGATTGGCCTATAATTTAAAGTATATCGGCTGCGGCTAGATCTGGTGAGGTGTAGAACCATCCAGGTCTACTTGACGAAGAGATACTACTTTCCGGCTTTCAACTCAGGTATTTGAAAAGAACTGGTCAGGTAATCAACTGCAACGGCCCTACGGATGGAATTTATGACGATCAATTTTATTACTTCGATTTTCCATTTCTACTCATTTCATGGGAAATATGCTTAATAAAATAGCAGTTATTTCGAGGAGAAATCGTATTTGATTTTTATATACTGGATAAAAAAAAGAAGTCCTTATGGAGAGTACATTAAAATTATAGATTTTTAATTTAGGTGAAGAGGAAAATTGAGGTAATAAAGAAATGTTTCTACAGAGGAATGCTGGGAATAACATGGAGGGAATATGTAAAGAAGGAGAAAGGTCTAAGGAAAACGGTAGCGAGTAGATGATACTTCTCAAACACATAATAAAGAAAGAAAGTTTGTAGAATTTTACACTCACAGGCCATATTAAAGAGGGTCAGACGGAAATAGTGGGGAAACTAACTAAGACAGGGTAAATGAATGACAGAAGAGACAGTTTGAGAAATAGGAAAGATCCAATCCTTACTAAGAGCTACAAAGAATAGAATGTTATGGAGAGCCATGACCCGTTATGTTTTGAAGAAGCTCTTTAGGCCTCAAAATTCCTCCAAACAAATGACAAAACTTTAACTTTTCACATAGGTGTCCAACTTGCGACAAAGGTGTTTAATATTAGAAATAAAAATGTTATAATATCCAAAGTGTATATATATATATATATATATATATACATATATATATATTTATATATATATATATACTTTATATATATACTTTATATATATATATATATACTTTATATATATATATATATATATATATATATATATATATATATATATATATATATATATATATATATATATATATAGATATATATATATATATATATATATATATATATATATATATATATAAAAAAAATATACTGAAAAAACAAACAAAATCCTAATATGCGATTATCGTCTTTTAACGTTTCAGACGTTTCGGTCTAATAGACCATCTTCAGGACATATTCATAAAACATAATTAACATAGACCATATACAATTCAACATGAAAAAGACGATGGACATAAAAGCAATACCAATCCAAACAGATAACTGAAATCTTTTATAAGATCAGCGTTCCGTTTAAATATGATCACGTCGTCGTCACGTGGGCGATGTTTTGAAAACGTATTCCTAAAATTTGAGTATTTTGAATGAAAAACGAAAATAATTTTATTTTGATCTAAAACTTATATGTACGTTTGTCGAGCATTAATCTTGCTAGAAAAGGGGAAATATTAAAGAAGCCAGGTCTAGTGTTCACTGTATATCCATATATTTGCTTACTTACATATATATATATAAAAGTGTGGCTGGTCCTGCACAAGGCCTTCACCATTATAAACAAATCTCATGTGCCGGTGTCGGGATGTCAGTTTCCTGGGGACTTATCGGCCTGATCCTCATACGTCGAACGCGACGGGAGAGTCGATTATATATATATATATATATGTGTGTGTGTGTGTACTTTATATATATATATATATATATATATATATATATATATATATATATATTTAATATACAGGTGTTTCAGCAAAAAACCGACACTTGACAAAAAGAAAACGAAATAGGCAATAAAAACAAAAGTTGTATATGCAGACACCCGACAGTTTGACAACTAACTAACATTTTTCACTCTACCCTTTTTCAGGATGGAATATGAGAGCAGAGCAGTGGTAATAGCTTCTTTTCGCGTCGGGAAGAAGCCTGCGGAAGTGATGGCCTGGTTTGGGTTCAAGAGGAACTTTGTCATGGATATTTGGAGGAAGTGGAAGGCATTTGAGAACAAGGACGAGTTTACTGCCAAACGAAAGACCCACAACGTTTGTTCTTCGACCGGTAGGACAGACGAGTTCGTCGCCGCCGTCAAGGAGACAGTCGACAATGATGGAAGCCAGAGCTACGCCAAGATCGCCGCTGACATGGGCCGTCACAAGTCGACGATCTGCCAAACGATCAAGAGGGTCATTGGTTACTCCTCTTACCGCAAGTCTCAACCTCTGCTCATCACGAATGCTTCCAATGAGTCGAGGAAGGTCAAGACAGCGTCTTTGCTGACCGAGTTCAATCACGGGTCCGCTGTGATGCTAAGGTTCTTCTCTGATGAAAAGAATTTCATCCAGGACCAGACGAGCAACAGGCAGTTGGATCCCGTCGTGAAGCATACGAAGTTTCCCTCCTCCGTCATGGTCCTATGGCGTCATTTCCAGCAAGGGGGACGTCATGCCTCCGTTCTTCTTTCGAAAGGGTCTGAGAGTCACCGCTAAGATCTACTAGGAGGTGGTGAGGAGCGTGGTGAAGCTCTGGAGGAACGGGATCGCTGCCGGGCGATCCTACGTCTTCCAGCAGGACTCCGCTCCTGCACACAAGGCCAAGACGACCAAGGCGTGGCTGCTCAACAATGTTCCTCACCATTGGTTGCCGGACTTGTGGCCGCCCTCTTCACCTGACTGCAACTTCTTTGACTATTTCTTCTGGGGCGTGATCGAGGCCAAGACCAAAAGGCACGTCCATAACACGGTCGACACTCTGAAGACTGCCATTGTGGAGGCGTTCGCCGCTATGGACAAGGGCATGGTCACCAAAGCGTGTTACTCATTTCGCTCCCTCCTTGAGATTGTTGTCGTCGGCGCCGCTGGCAGTTACATTGAAAAATAATGTAGTATGTATATCTGACTGTTGTTAAATAAACTGTTGGGCCTCTGCATATTACAACTTTTGTTTTTATTGACTATTTCGTTTTCTTTTTGTCAAGTGTCGATTTTTACTTCAACAACTTCTCTCTCACTCTCTCTCTCTCTCTCTCATATATATATATATATATATATATATTATATAAATAGGCACCTCAAAAGAGACACGATAACTAAGATTTAAAATTAATTTTTAAACATGAAAAATCTTTCTGGACGTCTTTATTAGCCTTTATTTCAAGCTAATATATTAAATTTAATGTTTCTAAAAAGCAACTTACTTCAAATCTAAATTGATAGGAATTATTTTTTGAAATCTCAAAATATCCCTATTTAATTTAATTATTACTTTTAGAAATGTCTTTTTAACACAGTTATACGTGTTTTGATTAGGTATTGACAGCTTGATTGACAACTGGAAGTTTATCTAGTTTTATCTACGAGTGATATATCTGTAAAACATTCTTTAGATATAGAACATCAACACCTTTTTAATATAATTTTGAAATTAGGAAAATATTCTAGGTAATCTAATGTATTATAGTGTGTCAGGTATTTTGGCTTTAATTTTACTATAGTTACTGTTCTTATTTTCTGATAATGTCATGTATGGACGTCCGTTTTTACACTTGTTGGTAATATCAACTTGTTTGGTGTGGTGCCTCTTTTCCTGTAAATGTATGTATGTATAAAAAATCATCTTTCTCTCTCTGTCTCTCATTGAAATTATTTCTTACCCGGGTTCAGAGATATTCTATATGCTTTTATATATTTAGAGAAGGACACAGAAAGAGAGAGAGAGGGAGGGAAAGAAAGTGATAGATAGATAGAAGGAAAGTAGGAGAGAGAAGAGAAAGAAAGCTAGAAAGTGAGTGAGAGATACAAAAAAGATAGAAAGTGAGTGAGAGAAAGAGGAAGGAACATAGAACGTCTGAGCGAGAGAAAGAGAAATAAAGATAAAAAATGTGAGTGAGAGAGGGAGAAAAAGAAAGCGTGAGTGAGTGAGTGAGAAAAAGAAAGACAGAATGTATGAGTGAGTGAGAGAAGGAAAGAAAGAGGGTGATTGAAAGAAAGAGAAAGAAAAATAGAAAGTGAGCGAGTGACAGAGAAAGATAAATAGAAAGTCTGAGTTAGTGAGAGAATGAGAGCTGGAAAGATAGAAAGTCTGAGTTAGCGAGAGAGAGAGAGAGAGAGAATGTCTGAGTTAGTGAGAGAGTGAAAGACAGATAGAATGTCTGAGTAAGAGAAATGAAGACAGTCTGAGAGAAAAAAAAAGAAAGAATGATAGAAAGTTTGAGAGAAATCAAGACAGAAAGTCTGAGTTAGTAAGAGAAAGAAAGATAGAGATTCAAAGTGAGTAAGAGAGAAAAGAGAGAGAGAGAGAGAGATAAAGAAAAAAGATAGAAATCTAAGTGAGAGGCATAGAAAGAAAGAGAATGTCTGGGTGAGTGTGAACAAGAAATATAGAAAGCCTGAATGAGAGAAAAGAAAACGAGAATGTCTCAATGAGAGAGAGAGAGAGAGAGAGAGAGAGAGAGAGAGAGAAAAAGAAAAATAAGATGTCCTAGTTAAAGACAGAGTAAGAAAGATAGAAAGTTTGAGTGTGTGATTGAGAGAGAGAAAGAATGATAGAAAGTGTGAGTGAGTCAGTAAGCAAGAGAGAGAGAGAGATAGAAAGGTAAAAAGTTAGTGAGTGAAATAGAAAGATGAATAGAAAGTGAATGTGTGAGAGAAACAAAGATAGAAGTGTGAGTGAGAGAAAGATAGAAAGCGTCTGTGTGTTAGAGAAAGTAAGACAAAATGTCTCAGTGTATGAGAGAAAAGCAGAAAGTTTGAGTTAGTGAGAGAAAGAACGATAAAAAGTTAATGAGTGAGAGAGAAAGAAAGAAAGATAAAGAGTGAATGAGTGAGAGAGAGAAAGAAAGAAAGATAGAAAGTCTGAATTAGTGAAAAAGAGAGAAAGTCTGAGTGAGTGAGAGAAAGGAAGAAAGGTAGAAAGTTTGAATTAATGAAAGAAAGGAAGAAAGATAGAAAGTCTGTGTTAATGATATAGAGAAAGAAATATGTAAAATATGGGTGAAAGAAAGAAAGAACGTCTGAATGAGAGAAAGAGAGAGAAAGGAAGATAGAAAGTCTGGCTGAGTGTGAGAAAGAAAGATAGAAAGTGTGTGTGTGTGAGAGAGAGAGAGAGAGAAAGAGAAAGAAAAAAGAGAAAATCTCAGTGAGAGAAAACGGAAGAAAGATAGAAAATGTGAGTGAGAAAGAGAGAGAGAGAAAGAGTGCAGGAAAGAAAGAAAGAGGGAAAATCTGAGCGGATGAGAGAGAAAGAAAGATATAGTGTCAGTCAGCGAGAGAGAGAAAGTGTAACTGATTGAGTGAGAAAGAGAGAAGTGTGAGTGAAAAAGAAAGAAACAATGAGGGGGTGAAAGGGAAAGAAAGAGAGAAAGGGTGAGTGTGTCAAAGAGAAAAAAGAGAGAATGGGGTAGTGAGTGAAAGAGAAAAAGGATGAAAGGGTGAGTGAGTAAAAGAAAAAGAGAAAGGATGAGAGAGTGAGAGACAAAGAAAGAGAAAGAGAATGAGTGAGTGAGTGAGAGAAAGAAAGAAAGCTAGAAAAGTATTGAGTGCGTGAGAGATAATTAAAAAGAGAAAGGTTGAATTTATAAGAGACCACAGAGTGGGAGTGATAGAGAGAGACTCAGAATGACAATAAGAAAGTGAAGCCGTGAAAATATGTAGAATTAATCAAAGAAGGAAAATTACGGACGAACTGATTTTTCCTGTGCGTATATATCATCAAAAAATCAAATGATGTTGACCTTGATTGATGGACGATCCACGCCTAAAATGGTTTCAATCTAATCATGAGTTAAGAAGAGATACAGCACTGAATATTTTATAGACTTGATTAACATTGGCATTTATAATTAACGCTTACCTAAATGAATATCGCTGACATAAATTATTGAAGAGGCAAAGGAAAGAAGGGTTTGTTCATATGGTGTGCCTTTGCTTGCATCACAAAATCACTCCAATTAATTAAGTAGAAGTAAACGTTTTCTCCTTCATGACAATTTCTATTCAGCTAACTCTGGTGCATGAGTTTAATGGATATCGGAATTTAAACATGCACATGGCAAACTGCTGAATTTCATTTCAGACATTATTAAAGCAGATTTAATGACGTTGAATGTAGAATGATCATTGGTGCTCAACACACTGAGTTTTCAGTACAGCTATCTCAAGGCTTTATAAAGAAATGTAAGAAGAAAAGGGAATCGGCGACACTGTCAACGAAAATTCTGTGTTGATAAAAGAGGTTAGCGGAGAATAACCAGACTGGGTCAATCTGACAAGAAGACAACAATAGCTTAAGTAAAAAATCTTAGAAAAAATATATAGATGAGCATCTCTAAACACATGACACTTAGAACCTTTATTTATTTTTTACGGTTTATCAACCTTTTGTAAAGACAGAAATGTTTTTAGATTGTCAGAATCTCCGGGTATCATAAGCATTTACTGATATAAGTCCTATTAACTAACCGGTAGATGAAGAAGAAAAGGTGGATTCTTACCTTTCCCAACCGTATTTGCGCGTAAGTGAATATAACGAACCCAAATGGTATTAGAAATCGGCTCTCCAAATTACAATTCCGAACTGTTATCACTCACACATCGGAGCTTACAGAGCTTGCTATTCCCAAGAGCCCAACTATATAGTTTCGGACCAAGCTCGACGTTGCGTAATTTCAGGGATTGTATGACAACCGGTCTTTCAATGTCATATGACCGTAAACCGCGTCGAACATTGAGGTAGATAGGCTACACCAGCAGAAGTGTATGTCGGTGGTACTCCTGTCAGAACATGAAACCTAGGCTACAATTTGTTACAAATTACAAAACGTGAGGAATAGAAACTTCAAAAGGGTTGGTTGATCAGATGGATGTCAATGTCTTCTGCGACAATCAGATGATAGGACCAAAATTTGGCGTAAAAAATATGGAAGTATAGATTCTTGCTATCTTGTTTCAAGCGGATAGCGGTGATGTGGTATATTACCTTGACATTTCTTGTGGGTCACAAATTATTTTATGCTCCCCACTGGGCCTCTCACACGCGGGATATGTCATGCCTCTCACTGCTTTGTCGCTACTTCCATGGAAAGAGCTCGCATGAACTATATTCCTTGGTTCCGCCAGCTGTAACATTTGTTATGCTACTCACATAGTAGCAAACCACTCAGATTCCCTCCATGTTCCATTGGTGGGAAGTAATTTTACTTGAACGGATTCTTTCCGCGAAACACTGCTTTGTGGGACCGACTTCCAAGAGGATGTTTCCCCGATCACTACAATCTTAAACTGTTCAACTCTATGGCTAATCATTATCTTCCTCTCCTATCCACATAAAATGCTTCTTAATATAAACCTCTAACTCGAGGCACTCCCGGGCCTTGTACATAGTGAACCTTACTGTAAACAATAAATAAATAAATCTCTTAAATTCCGCAGCATCTCAGTTAATGACTACGGTGCTTCTGTCTTCTGGAGGCCACTTCAAGCTGGTCATTGTCCTGTGACACAAATAAAAAGAGTTCAGTGGCAGGTTGGAACACAGCGATGAGTTTTCTGGGCCTCTACAGCAAATGAATCTTAGTCCTGTAAAGAACCTTTGAGATATGTTCGAAAAGAAAATTCGGATATCACGTATCACGATAACGTCTCACAACTCATTAGGGATGTAAGCGTACCACAGGTAGTGCAGTCGTAATAACAGTGTTTTACCGCTGTTATCCCTTGAAGTCCCACAAGCTCATTAGGTAAGTTACTATCTATTTTTCTCTAACCTCAATAAGTTCTAGACAAGACAGTCTGACGGAACCAGATTCTCTCCGGTTTTCCTTCTCCTAGATTAGTCACCGATCAAGGCTTTAAGGCCAGTTTGCTCTACTATTTACATATAGCTGAGGTAAAAGATACGGATCCATACATTTCCCAAGAGTATTAGCACATAAATGAATGTAATAAATTCAACTGAAATTCGAACTCAGATCTCGGTTTCCTTAATACGAGACGCTATGTGCTTTAATTTAAACGATATCCAGACAAGCAATCTAGTGGTGTGAAAATCCATAACAGCAGAATGGGCCTACATTTCGAATTAATATTGTCGAATCTATGCCAGGAAGACTTGACGCGGTTCTAAACTCAAAAGGGATTCCAGACAAGTGTTAGAAGACTAAAGCAACTGGTGAGTGTATATAATATATCCCTGTTACGCTACGATGATATCGTTACAACAAGAGACATGTCTGCCAGCAAAGGTGATGCACTAAAAATGACGGTGTAAAAATGATATATCCATGGACGTTGCCAATTTATGACTTTTAAATGAGAAACCATGTTCATCTATCATCAGGGAAAAGATAATGAAAGAAAATCGAAAGAAAAAAGGCAGGAAAGAAACTAAGAAATCATAAATGCGCACTCTATGCCTTCCAGCCAAACAGACAGCAGACAAAACGAACGAAAATAAAACAAAAAAAAAAATAATACAAAAATATAAGAAGCATATAAACAAAATCCTGTCATTTTCAGGCGTTAATGGCGTGGATATTATCTGTTTATTCGTTACTGTTTTATGGCAAGGAAAAAAAGAATCAAGTACATCGGCGTGTTCTTGTATGAAGAGGATTATCTCCCATTATGCAACAACTACAACAAATATGTATTCATCTTTCGGGCGTCATCGGCGCGTCAATTCTATTCTGTTGTCTTAATATACTCAGCTATTTAATGTATTGGGAAATGTATGCCAAGGGAGACATAGGTTCGTTAGCTTAACATGGTTATTATATCAGAAGCTGATACGCCCTCTGGATTGACTTTTGCGATTAGTGGCGTAAAGATATTTCAACTTTCTTTTTATTTTCTTTTTGATTTACTTTTGATATATATATATATATATATATATATATATATATATATATATATATATATATATATATATATATATATATGTGTGTGTGTGTGTGTGTTTTAAGAGTTTCTCTTAAGACTACGAATGACAGCAAACTCGATTGGACATCTCATCTGAACTTTTCTGTCTGTGTCTTCACAAATTAGTTAAAAAAAAGGTATGGTAATATTGTTGGACAAAATACCACTTACTAAAAGCCAATTATTAGTAGCAGCAAATCACCATATCTAAGCTCTCTGATAGCAACCAATGAATACACAGGAATAACTAGGCTCAATAATCAACAAAGACTCGCCTGAATTTTTTTCTCGATTCTGAATTCTAGCAAAGAAACTTGGGGTATTTATCAATGCTTTAATGATTATCGGACTGACTTATTTTTCTATACGCGTATCTCTTTGGAGAGTCGTGGATCATGTCCCTGATATGACGATGAACTACATCCGGCAGCGAGGCATCTGATAGGGGGTTTTGAGGAGCGTGTAACCACCTCTTCATTGCTGTTGTTTTCAGGCTGACCCAGACTCGACATAGTAGCACCTGTTAGAGTCCCTGACATAAGCAAATACTGAACTGGAGTAAAAACACTATGAAAGTAAAAAAAAATACATTTTTATAGTCAAAATAGCAGCGATATATTTTCCTTGTAAAAAATTACCAGCAATACATTTTTGCAAAAAATAAAATTACCAGCAATACGTTTTGTAAAAAAGATTACTAATGTTTCCAAGAGAAACGAATTTCGGCATTAAATGACTCATAAGGAGTTGATATGCCGCTAAACGAACAAGCAAGCGCCGGGGATCATGGTTCTTCAGAACTTACTATCTTAGTCACTCAAAGCAATGTTCTATTCTTTACTACCCACTCCAGTCCATCAAGCTCGTTAAGTTACTAGCGATTTCCCTCTGTCCTTATTATACCTTGTGAGGATCTAATTCTCTAAGCCCTCTTTTTTCATTATCCACCCGAGAAATTTCAACTGTTTCTTTTTTTATTCTAAGTACAGTGTCCGTTTTGTTTCCATTTCCCTTAAAACTGGTTCGTTTGGTTTGAACGACTCTTTGAATAATAAATTTTCTTTTCTGCCGTCGAGGAAAATTAATCCTTTGGAATTTAAAATTCCCCAAGTTTAAGTTTGAGCATCATTGTTATCATTATATTGCATGCGTTTACAAGTGGTCAAAAGATATCTTTATCGGTTATCGTTCAAAGGTTAGTGACAAGAAGAATCCTCAAGTCATTGATAATTGCCTTTGTTGGTGTCTAGACAGGTTCAGTTCTTCCACAAATCATTTTGTTTTTCCACTTTTCATTCAGTTACAATTGAGACAATTATTATGGATACAACTGTAAACATTATATCTGATGACTTCCCGGGTGAGTTTCTGATATTTTCTTTTTTATTTTCTCCTTTTTCTTTTATGTCTAGCCTTTGATTCGCTGTATTAATTCAACCAAGATTCGGCAGAATTTCTCCCTTCCGTTCCAGCATTTTATTAAGGATGTTTTCTGTTAGTTTCTGTTCTAAAATTATTTTAATGGCTTCTCTGTACTTTGCCAATCGTACCAATTATGATAGTTACATAGACCATTTTAATCTTCCCCGGTATTTTCAATGCCATG